TATATATATATATATAGCTGATTGGATGCATGTATAAATATTTGATAAAATCTGATAAAATTATTAAGCATCCACAAATAGTTTAAAGTCAGATAACATTTTAAGAAAACTAAAAAAAAACATTCAAAAGTCAAGACTTTCACAACATTTTCTAATGACTAGATATTTAATGATGATTTACAAGTACTTACAATTTAGCATCTGAGCACATTCGAGAAGGGAAGTATAGTTGTCATTTTCCTGCAAAATGTCTACAGAGACTGTAGAAACAATCGTAACGCCCTCTATTACTGCCATTGTCTGTATCTGAAAAGGAAACAAGAACAAACTACCTGTCATTTTGACACATTCCCTAAAAAAGCTCTTGGTTTTCGGTCTCTTTCAAAACATTAGCAGTCTTACCTGTTCCTCAGAAATCTCCACCTCCATGTCACCTGCGTCCTCCTCGGCTCCAGTGATCCAGCGCTCTGGAGGGTGAGCAGTGAGGTTGTGCTGCAGCAACTTCAGCTGTCTCTCCCACAACTCCTGCCTCTGACTCCTCTGCAGCTCCGGCAGAACCTCCGCCAGGTCAAACGGATCCGCTCCATCCTTCTGTAACACAAACAGCAATGAACAGTATGATCTTCTGAATAACACAGACTGATGTTTTAGCTCTTTCTGTGTCCTTGATTTCACTGGTAGTTCAGAAGACTGAATGACGTAGACTTTGCTTCTTTATTCTGAATGTAAACTCGAAATATCTAAGAAACAACAGCATCGTAAAGTCAAAATACAAGGTCTTGTTTGTCTTTTGTTCTCTTTAGTTGTTTGAACAGTTAAAACATGTATCCTGTGTAATTTACATGAAGTAGATTACAATAATGTACAATGCCTTGTGAATAAGAAGTGTGAATACTTAAAAATAATTTACTTAACCTCAAACTGAATGTAATGTTTCTGGACACTTAACTGCATGTTATTTTTAATTAAATGCTATTAGTACCTCTTTATATGTTATTTCATAATTATTTCTATTGTCTCTATTATTATTGTCTCTACTGCATTATTTCTATTGTGCAATATGTTTAAAGTGTACTGTCAAATGTACTGACAAACATTTATAGTAAACTAAACATTTAATGTAGTTTCTACTAAAAAGTTGTCATGTAGTTAAATATATTTGTAATGATAATTTTGCTATTTAGTACATTTAAAACATTTTCTTATGTAATATTGAATAACTCACTACAAATAAAATTAAAAACAAGTACCTGTTTTAGTATTAGACAACTCAAAAAATGTGCTTATTTAAAGCATGTCAAAAAGATTGTGCACTTAAGTGTGTTTAAGTAACAGTCATGAAAATATAATCTCTCAAGTAATCTTAAATGGTCTTTTGGTTATATTATTACTTTATTTGCAAGTACAGGTTTTTTTATGTAACGTTACTTCAAAGGTTTGAATCTCACTACACGTGCACATTCAATACACTTACTGACAGAGAGCGTTGTAAACATGACTCACATGTAATCTGATGAGGTTCAGAAAATCCTGGACGCGCTCATGATGCACAGATTCCAGAAACTGCTTTCGTTTCGACATTTCGCTTACAGCCCTACCAGACAGAAGAGAAACAGAAACACAATTACTAACAGAGCCGTTGAGAGAGATGGCTCTGATTACTACGCACTTCGGCGAGTAGCACTTATGTTTTATTTTATATTATTGTCCGTTCACAGCAGGGGCGTAACGTTAGCACCAAACGTTGGGCCCCGGTCACACAACTAAGGGGGTTGGGCCCCTCCCAACACAACACAACATCACTTATATTAATAATAATAATCAGTATATCATTATGGGCCTCCTCCTCGCCAAGGCTCATGATGCACAGATTCCAGAAACTGCTTTCGTTTCGACATTTCGCTTACAGCCCTACCAGACAGAAGAGAAACAGAAACACAATTACTAACAGAGCCGTTGAGAGAGATGGCTCTGATTACTACGCACTTCGGCGAGTAGCACTTATGTTTTATTTTATATTATTGTCCGTTCACAGCAGGGGCGTAACGTTAGCACCAAACGTTGGGCCCCGGTCACACAACTAAGGGGGTTGGGCCCCTCACAACACAACACAACATCACTTATATTAATAATAATAATCAGTATATCATTATGGGCCTCCTCCTCGCCAAGGGCCCCTTGTTACTCAGTTCCACTATTACCCCCTGTCCGACGCCCCGGTTCACAGGATGAGATTATGTATGCAACAGCGCGAGTATTAATATAACATTAGTTTCGACACGGAAGGCTTTTGTTTCGCATACGCAGAACAAAGCATTATTTCCTAAACTATATCAGCTCATATAACAGCACATTACAAATATATATTTTCCATCAGAGCAAACCTACCGGGTTGTTTACTCCGTCCGTTTCAATGTTTCCCCGCTCAAAACTAAAGAAGCGTCATGACGTCAGGCGTAACGTTTCATCCTCGGCGTGCTGATGTGACAGCGCCACCTGCTGTAGGGGAGATGGACGGCGCTTGAGTTTAAATGCAATGGAGTTAATCGATATCTCCATTAAAAATATTTTCTAAATTCTGTATAACGTTATTTATATGATTCTTAACACGCATCAATTGCTGCCTACTCGGCTTGTTCATTTACTACTCCAAAATCTACAACTATCCGCCAATGTCCAGCAGATGGAGCCAAAAGCACGTTGTACGATCGATCAATCAAAAAAGTCCCTGAGATATTAATGACAGATGATACATTATATTGTAATTACATGCTTACTACTTTTCTGCTGTTGAAAAATATTAATTAAACAAAACAACTTTAATCTGTTCTTTCTATTTTTGGAATACCAAGCAAAGGAAACAATGGATTTTACAGTTATTAGAAAATATTACTCTTTATCAGTATCATGTTCAATAATTGAGTATTGCTGGACCTAAAAAGGGCCCAAATTTTAAGCATTATATTTTACTAGGTTGCTTCAACTAGTGATGGGCGCGTTCGAAAGACTGCTTCACGAAGCTTCGAAACATTTGCGAATCTTTTGTTTCGAATCAGTGCTTCAGAGCGCGTATCAAACCGGCCAGGTCGCGTGATTTTAGCAAACGAAGCTTCGTTACGTCACACTGTTTCCGAAACGTTCCGAAACTCCGATGGTTCACCACCAATAATTGAGTATTGCTGGACCTAAAAAGGGCCCAAATTTTAAGCATTATATTTTACTAGGTTGCTTCAACTAGTGATGGGCGCGTTCGAAAGACTGCTTCACGAAGCTTCGAAACATTTGCGAATCTTTTGTTTCGAATCAGTGCTTCAGAGCGCGTATCAAACCGGCCAGGTCGCGTGATTTTAGCAAACGAAGCTTCGTTACGTCACACTGTTTCCGAAACGTTTCGAAACTCCGATGGTTCACCACTAGGGGGTGTTGATCTCAAAGTGAACCCACGAACCACTTCTGGTTGCCCAGTTAATCATGTGACATGAAATCCCACGAAATTTCAAGGCCAGATGTTGTGGGTTAAAAAAAAGATAATTTCCCTTTAACACAGATGGCTATACAGTTTTAAAAAAATGTGTAAAAACACCCAGTTCTTTCAACCTACAAATCACATCATACCTTAAAAATAACAAAATGAGCTTACGATAGAATTAAATCCACCTCCTTTCTCCTGACTGATAACACTACTCTTGCCTGCTGGTTTTCATAGATAGCTCTAATGAAAACACTTAATTAATTAAATAATTACATACATCAATTCATTAAATAATTAATTTAATTCATTGTGTGTTGAGTTTGATTATACTTAAATAAAACACATAACACAAGCACTAATATTTAATAGCATTTAAGTGTTTATTATTTATTTTAAAAAATGGTGTTTCTAAAAAAACATTTCCATTTGTTTTGTAAGTTTGGTCTGAGTTCTTTACAACGTTTTCACCAGCAGGTGTCGCCAGCATGTGCCGTTTCAAGTGCTTCGAAACATTGAATCGTTTTTCGAAGCAATTGGTTCAATTGATTCTATGCTTCGAAAAGCTTCGTTTCTCCCATCACTAGCTTAAACACCTTCCACACAACCTTATCAAAATATTCCTGGGATTTGGTGCCTTTTGTGTCCCCAGTAAAGATCATGATATTATTGCCTTAAAAATTTCAATCAATTTTGATGTTGTCTTTGATATAAAACACCTTGTGAACTTTAAGCATTTGCGTTTTTACTTATAGCTATATCATTCTAAACATTTCACAGCATTTTAAACCACCAAATATCACCATTTTTACTATGTCCCCAGGCCCGCGCCTGCCATTTTGATAATGAATACAACACTCAGAAAACCTAACAGGCTGGACACATTTAGTGTACATAGTGATAGTGACAGCAATTGATGTTTAGGTTGAAGAAGTAGTGTATTTAAACTTATTTTACATTTTAAATGTAACATTTTACATATACATAAATATTAAAAATTGTTGTTCATTTGTCCCTAACAGGGTGGACTTTTTTGGACCACCTCATCATTTAATTTGGCTTATAATTGCTTGAATTTATATACCTAAGGTTGTATATACCATATATTTATATACCAAATGATTTTTCACTTTTTACAGCTCCCTATCATGATTGCACAAGAATTTATTAAAACAAATTTTTTTGAGTGTTATGATGTCAAAAAGGCACTGAATCCCAGGAATGACCCGACCTTAAAAACAAAAGTACGAATAGACACAAAATTAAAATGACTGTTTAAACAATTAAGGTAATAAAATGCATTCAGGCCCTTTAACTCTAAAATGGGTTCAAGTTACAAGTTCATTGTGATTCATGTTGCATTTCATATTTTAATGATATCATGCATAATGCATAGAGAAGAATAAGGCTGGAAAACATATCAACAGCCATTTCACAGTCTTGAAACAATCCAAAACACTTTGTAACCAAGCTATTATCATCTTACAAATGTCGCATACTAAAAACACATTTTGATTTTCCTCATAAAACTCTTGCAGACAAAATGGGTATCAAACATTTCTTTACAGGCTGTTCATCTTGTGTTGTGCAACAGGATACAGTAAAATACTTTAAAAAATAAATTATCAATGGATCATTTATGAAGAGCTGACCATAGCTTGGATTTTCCGTAACTGTATGTGATAGAAAAAGCAGCATAAAATCTAAAGAAAAGGAAATGTTCATACATACATGTATACATACATACGTATAGCCTTTCTTTTGCACTTGCAACCGTGTTTTGTGTAATATACTGCCTCAAACAAACAACAATGCTACAATAACATGTCTGACTTACCAGCAACATAACATTTTTTTTTCTGATTGATTGCTTGCAAAACATAGTATTAAAAAGAAATCAAAAAGTTTAATAATATTATCAAAATAACTTAAATACAACAAATAAAGGCACATTTAATAATAAATCTAATGATCTTTTTGTCTACTGTTGTTTCATAACTTCATGGGCAACCATTTTTATCTGATAAAAAGTGAAGTTATGCGACCAAACACCAATAAGATGAATAAAAGGATAAAACAAACAAGCAGACAAAATTAAAAAGACTATCAGATTGAATCCTTTGAGAAAGTGAAAGTAAGCGGGACAGATGCTTCAGGTGGCAATTTTAGCTTTGGTGAGAATGAGAGAGACACTTTGTAGGCCAGTGTAAATCCCAGTAGAAGTAGCCTGGTTTAGTTAGTCCAGCACTGCTCTTCTGCTACTAAAGCCTCTACATTATCCTGTGCATGCCGTGACATGTCCCAGTTATCTGCTGTTCCATTCATTTCTGCTTTCTAGCATGGACCACTACATCTGAATTATCTTCTTCGAGCCATCCTCCGTTAGATGATACCTGAGAGATAAAGGAAGCTTTTGTAATCAAGAAAAAGTACATTTACAAGAGTGACTGTATGAATAAATGAGAATCACACCATTGAGTCCATCCTTTCGAAATGTCTTCACTTGCCAAGTCCGCAAGTGCCTGTGACAAAGACAGCTGTAAGCCTCCATAAAAATCCAGTGATCAACTGAATGAGAAAAAGTACGTAGGACTGTGAATCCATCAATGTTTTTTTTTACCTTGCCTAGTAGTACTTTGTGTTTGGACAACAGTCCTCCTCCATTCTTGACAGCGACATCCAAAGTTCTCCTGTGCAGTTCCACTATAGACACACTGAACTCAAAGCTGACAAAAGCAACACAACAAGATAGTAACTGTTACTGCAGTTACTGGTTTACTATGCTACATGCATCTCTGCACTTGAATATGCAGGCAACTGGGATCATGAAACCTTCAGTAATGCAATTATACAAAAAGAAAATTTCTCAGAAACATTGGCAGTTGCATCATACAGTATATTATAAAGTCTTGGTTGACTTGGTTTGGAGGGTAAAACAGTTAGCTAGCTCTGTTCAGTAAGAAGCTCCGCTGTGGATTTAATATGAAGGGAATGTCATGCAAATGCATACAGCAAGATAAACAGCAGACACGAATTGAATCTGGTGGATCCTCTTCTCATTTGAATGCAATTTAAATGAGTTAAAGACATCACTATGTCTGTAACCACATTAGGTTTGACATGTGAATACTATCAGTAAAATGTGTATTAGTATGATAAGACAATTAGCAAAAATTCTAAAAAAAACCACAAAAAAAACACTAATATATTACAGACTTTATATATCAGGATTTTTTCAATCCTTTTTCAGGATTGTGAAAAAGAAGTGTGCTTAATTGTACTAAATGTGCAGTGTATTTTAATTCAAAAATTAAAAACCTAATTAAAAAAAAAAAAAACCTGTACTGGCAAGATTTTTTTAATGAAATATTTAATAATGTTTTAATAATCTATTGTTGCGTTTAAATAAATACATTTCATTTATGTATTATGTTGACTACCATACTAAAGCACATGTAGAGTACTTGATTTTTTATTTTAACTGTAGTGTGTAATTCGATATTACGATATCAAGTAAATATAGTTTAAATTGAATGAACTGCTACTTCATTATTACAAATGTGTAACTGCAAATATATGTAAATACATTACATATGTTTCATAAGTTTCAATAGAAATTGCATCAGTACTATAAATGCTTGTTAGTATTTCTCAAACATATTTCAAAGACAATAGAAGTAATTATAAATTTACATAAAGATGTACTTAAGTCTTATTAAAGTGGGTCAAAAACATTCTAAAGTTCAGCTAAATGCATTTCATATGAATTTAAACTACAACACATTTTCGTTTAATTGCAATTAAGTGTCAGAAAACATAATCCGTTTGCCCTTGCGTACATTCTTTCCTTAATAAGTAATCTTGTAAAAAAAAAAAAAGATGTACACTTTAGAAAACTTTTTCTTTTGTACCAATTATAAAAGATATTTTGAACCAATTATTATAAAGAACCTAATTTGAAATGGTCTGTGTGCTTAGTGTGTTTCTTACGACTGGTCGTAGATAGGATTGAGCGTCTTCTTGAGTGTGCTGGTTTTTCTGCGGCCCCTCCGGCTCTTGTCTGGTAACAGGTACAGACGGATGTATGGGTCTGAACCATCTTTAGTCAGTGCTATGAGGTTTCTGTGATTAAGACACAAGGAAACATATTCACACAAAAGCAAAAGTAGTATTTTCACAAGAACTTGTTGCATCACATTTTTATACAAATTCAAACATACAAATGCAAACACGTGTCCCTCATTATTTGCACACACTGTTGTTGATGTTCAAGAGCGTTAACCACTGATCATTTACCAAAAAAAAAAAAACACTAATATACTGGATGTGTTCAATGTAAAAGTAAAAAATAGGCTAAAATTAGCAAACAAAATGATTGGAAATGGTACTATAAAACACAGAAAGATGAAGGTTAATGTGTATGTGGCAGTCTCACCTGCAGGCATGAACCACTACAATAAGTTTATTTCTTTGTGAGCTGTGTCGGATAGTGAGCTGGACTTCACCGAGTGGATACTGTCTCAGCCCAGAGCCGCTGTAACAGAAACAGCAAGTTTATCTGACAGTGTGTGAGAGCGAGTTAAGAAATTGTTTTTCTTCTGACAAGTCAACATGAATTCAAAATACAGTATATTTACTTTAAGGCTGCATTTATTTGCTAAAAAATACAGTAAAAACAATAATATTGTTAAATATGATCACTATTTAAAAATAACTGTTTTCTATTTTAATATATTTTAAAATGCAATTTATTCCTGTGATGACAAAGCTGCATTTTCAGCAGCCATTATTCCAGCCTTTGTTGTTACATGATCCTTCAGAAATCAGGATTCTTTGATAAACAGAACATTTCAAGAACAGTACTTACTGTATTTGAAACAGAAATATTTTGTAACATTACAGATGTCTGTACTGTCATGTTTGATCAATGTAATGCATCCTTGCTGAACAAAATTATTAATTTCTTTCAAAAAATATAAAAAAATCACCAGCCCCAAACTTTTGAATGGTAGTCTGTAATATTTAGCATGAATATGCAATATTGCTGCCAAAATACTCCAGTTTGTGTAAACTCGTGGAAATTTTTGTTTGGATTGAAAATCCTCCTACTTTATGTCTGTGTTTTCTCCAGTTTTCCTCAGTGTGGTTTAGATTGTTGGGGCTGTTTAATACAGTTTCAACTATCTGAGCAACTTGGATGTCATAAGTGGTTTGTAACAGGGAATCAGCGACAAATACAAATGGATCATGTCACGCTTCCCACTGTTTCACTGCTCAAATTGGTCTGGGTGGCTCAGCAGAGACCAATCTGCTCAGTGCTATCCAGTCAGGCATGCCGTGTTGTTCATTGGGCATCGCAGATAAATGGTTTACACTGCACTGGTCACTACTTGTGTCTCACGTTTGGCTGTATTTTGGCTTTTAGTGTTTCTCAAACACAGCAGAAAATAGTCACCAGTGTGGCTTCTAACAAAATTGAATTACACTGACAGGAAAAAAGCAAAACCCAAACGACTTCTGTATATAGGTATCAGCGTGTCACGGACACAGACTCACTTTTGTAGCTTCTGTAACCTCTGCTGCAGTTCCAGTGTGGCAGACGGCAGCGAAATGTCAGAGGCCAGACTAGGTGTAGAGTCTCTGTGAGACTGATGCTTGTGCGAGCTGCTTATCTCCAGACTGGAGACACTGCGGCCTGCCTCTGCTAACCGCACCGGGGAGCCATCAGATCCTCTTTTCCCTTGAGGGGTGTCCGGTGCGAGGGTACAAGATGGGTTTTGTGATGGCTGGATGACTGTGGAGTTGCTGGTGCTAGTGACTGTTTGAGGTTGAGGGGTCACGCAAGAGTTATTCTGACTACTGTGTCTGACCCGGACAGAAGACGGTTGGCTGGATGTGACCTCCTTCTCTAAACAGAGGACCTGTTTACACAAAAACATATTTATATGGATAAAGGATACTGACACAAGTGCTGAAATGAGACAATGACACAAAAATTAGACAATATCTTTTGATAGCATACAGACACACCAACCCTGAGAGCCATTTTGAGTTTGAGGGTGCTGCTGGGGCCAGAGTTCTGCAGGGGGAACTGCTGATTCAGCGTCATGTCCGCCTCCTTCAGGAGAGAAGCAACTGCCACCCGCACACTACCCAGAGAGCACTTGTGCTTACTATCCCTCACCTGAAACACACAAACAACATCTATGCATGACAGTTGACATTTTACAAATACAAAACCCAACAGGAACACGCTGTCTACAATCTTTTGAGGAGTTCTCAAAATGAACAGTAAATCATTCTAACCAACTCTACATTATAGCATTATAGCAATAAATTTGACACTGATGATATACACTATATCGTTCAAAAGTTCGGGTCTGAAGGATTTTTTCATGTTTTTGAAAGGAGTAATAATCATCTTTACTGTAACCTTTTATCAATTTAATGTGTCCATGTAGAATCAAAGTATTAATTTCTTTTTAAAAAATCTTAAACTTTTGAAGCCCTAGTGTAAACTACAGTAGACTTACATAATTAACATTATCTTAGTAATTTTAATATTCATGCTTTTGGGGTGTTCCCTTCTAGAATACCTCAATTTCCAGTTCCTGAGTGCGGGGGTTGTTGATAAGGAAGTGAAAAGCCTCCTCCCACAGCGGCTCACTAGTTTTAAACCTCACCTGAAAATCAGGAGCAAAACAGGACTGGATAGATGTGTATTTCTAGTCTTGAACATGTTAAAGCCGATTAATGAATGTTACCTTGCTTGTGTACATCTTTTGTCCTACAGTCAGTTTGACAAAAGGATTTGGATCTATGCTCACTTTTTTCCCAGACTGCTGAACAAAAATAGAAAGAAAACATTCAATTGTACAGTATGATATGACATACCAAATATGACAGTCAACAAAATCTACTTCAGCTCTTTGGTAACATGAGCTGATTATACTAGCCTGGTTAATTATAATTACATCATAGCTCATTTAGCCTTTTAAAAGTTATGTTCTTACTACTAGTGCTTCGTTGTAATAAGGTTATTTTAAACTCATCTATAAAAATGTAAATACCAGCAATCTAAATACAAAAAGCCTCTTGTTTAATTTTCTCAATTCAATAAAGACATGAATAAATTAAGTAAAACAACTTATACAGTAGTATATTTATATAAAAAAATTCAATATGGGGTGCTGTGTGTACATTAATGAGGAAAAAAAATTAACTTAAATGATTTTAGCAAATGGCTGCAATATAACAAAGAGTGAAAAATTTAAGGGGGTCTGAATACTTTCCGTACCCACTGTATATACATAAAGTATATTTGTACTTCTATAACATCTGCTAAATCTTTAAACACATGCAGTGGGGCATGAGGGAAGAATACATTGGAGAAGCAATTAAAAAATAATCCAAAATCAAAGAATGAAACAAATAATAAAAGACGTGAAATCATGCTTGGGGTCCAGATGCAATGCAATGCATGTTATGCATGTCACTGTATAAACGGCATGCAGTCTCAATGTACCTTCAGGCCTTTATAAGGGGGTTTGGGGCCATCAGGGTTAAAGTCAAGAGGACTGGTCTTTCCACAGGAAGTATTGAGAGAAATTGAGAATAGGACGGTTAACATACAGCAAGAGGACATGCAAGAATGATAGTTCGATTGGTCCAGCCTTACAGATTTCTAATAAAAATTACAAATACATATGCATATCGAATCAGTGTAACAATATTGGCAGGGACAAAAAGAGGAAAAAAAAAAAAGTTTTGTCCTTTCTCTTTAGACTGCTTACTAAGTCTAAATCAGGATACGTCAATCATATGTCTAAGAATGACCAAGCTGTATTTAGATCAATCATGTGACTTAAAGGCAGGGTATATGATTTTTCAAAAACACTTAGAAAACTGATTCGGGCCGAATAGCAAAACAAACTTGTAGCCAATCAGCAATAAGGGGTGTGTCTACTCGTGATATGGAGGAGAGAGCTTTCAGTGCATGGGACGGACATTAGCCGAGCCGAGCGACAGAAAGATAGAAATGGCGGATAAAAAACAAAAGAGGAAAACGTCTGCGGAACGATAAGGCAAGAAGTAGGACCC